GCTTTGGGTGAGGTTTTTTTTTTCGAAAAAGGCTTTTAAGATCTTATGTAAATGTATTGCAAATTATTTTATTCATTTTTCATCCTTTTGGACCCTACTTTCTACTTGGTACTCAAGGCCATGGTGATTAATTCTTAGGGGGCATACAACTCTTTTTTGTGAGATGACCGAGAGTTGGGGCTTACAACCTAAATTTAAAATGGCTCATATATAAGTTTTATTACTCTAATCTTAGAGAGGCCCAAAAGTAGGTAATTTGATTATGCCCTTTAGGGGAAATACAAATGATTTAATTATCTTTTGTTTGATGCTTTAGCATTGAGGATCACGATTTATTTTAGGCTTAACATTTTGGTCATGTAGAATCCGAACTTACAAACCAAATCTTAGGGAAGTCAAAAGGATCTACTAGGCTCGATTTAGTTTTATATTCTTAGCATTGAGGTTTAAGCTCACTTTAAAGCTCAAAGCTTAGCACTTTGGTTCTCTAGTGAATCAAAACTTACAACCATTATCCTCATGGAGACCAAGGAGGATTTATTCGTCTTGGATTGACTTTACATGATTTTTATCGAATTAACTTGGCTCGAATTGGTTAGATATTTTGATATTTGAGTCAAATTTGAGCACAAGCATCCTGACGACTATTAGATCATCTCAATTAAGCTCATAGTCAGTTATGGATGAATTTGCAAACAATAGCAAGTACATTGATGATAGGTCGAGTGCGTGGCAAGAGACCAAGAGTATAGTCACCTTGGCGAGTGGGTCAACATATAAGCAAACAGGCTAACTTCCTACCAAAATCATGGAAGTTGGCAAACATACTAGGGATCCCAAATTTGTTGATGAGAGTGACTTGGAAAGTAACCAGGATGCCTAGTGGTTGTCTTGAGGAGTACAATTACAACTTGGCAAGTACATTCAAAGAGCTCTTCCATGCTTTGAAGAGTTTTTTAATGTCTTAGTGAGCACCTTGGTGGTTTCAATGAGTACCTTCATCAGCACAATTGAGTGGCCAACATATGCACTAGAGCATGGGATCAATGCATAGATAATATATGTACATGTTTTATTTCATTAGATTTAGTCCGACTTTAATTACTTCACTTATTTTAATGAGCTTTGAATTTTAATTTAATGGTTGGCATTTGACTTTAGTTGACATAAACTCAATAGTTTTTAAAAGTTTTAGAAGTTTAGTCTTGATATATCATCAAAAAATTATCTTGATCGGGCATGAATCTCGAGACAAAATCAAGTTGGAAACTTCAAAAATTAATTTGGAGACCATCTCAACTCCAATTTCAGCAAACTTATAGTCGAACTGAACGTCTCGAGAATATGAATCCAACGACACCAAATCCAACCCAATCCAAGCTCAAATGGGTCCAAATCAAGGGTTAGAAGCATTGTTGGACGGTTCGAACCACAATTTAGATTCCCAAACAGTTTCCAAACATAACGTGCTTATAGTTGAATCGAGTGGCTCGTCAAGACGAATCCAACGAACCCAAAATCACCAAATTCCGACATCACTAAGATAATCAAAAGTCCATCAAACGATCCTTGATCAAGGGATTCAACATCAGTCGCCCATCCAACCACTCCCCATTTACCCTTGATCTCTCACATATTTACGGGTCATGCCACTTCAGAAATCTATAAATAGACCCCTCATTTCTCTTGAAAGAGGACCCAAAAAGCTAAAGGATTCAAAGAGAGAGATCAGAGATCGCTCCTGCCTCCTTACTCCTCGACCACCGCCTCACCTCTGCCGGACCACCACTTGAGGCCCTCGCCTCCGCTGGACCACCAACCGACGCCAAAGTTCCACCAAGTCACTGTCGGACCACTAACTGACACCTGAACTTCCAAGTGACGCCTGATTTGACACTAGACTTCAACCATATGGTTGAAATTTATAATCTGATCGCCCCCAAGGATGAATCAACCCACTATACTCAACTCAAATTTTAGTGGAATCTTTTTACTGGGCAAGGCCCCGTGGTTTTTCCCCTTTCTAGGGTTTTCCACATAAAAATTGTGTATTCTATATGTGTAAACTGGATATCCGTGCAACACTAAGACGTAATTAAAACTCCATCTCCGCGTATATTCTAGCCCGCAATATGTCTCATTTGTTTTTTTCACAAAATATATATGGTATAGTATGATATGGAATGTTTGGGAGTGGTCATTTCTCAGGATATGATTGACAACAAGAGAATTGAGGTAGAGTTCGATCGTTAGTGAGAAAATAAGAAGGGGCGATCTCCACACCATAAGTAAGAACTTTGTATAATTTGTTTATTACTTTATTTAGCTTAGTATTTTTATTCTCCCTATAAATAAAGGTCTCAAAAGTTATGCTTTCAGTACAACATTGTTTCTTTGCGGCTATAGTCTCTACCAAAGTTTAGAATAAGGAGAGGCGACCAAGTAATTCTTTAGCACTTGGTTATGCTTCAGCTTACAAGCAAAGCTTCTTATTGCACTAAAATGGTACTATAATGCCCTGTGGGCACCTAACCTCATAGGGTCAAGGTGGCTTTTGATGGGGGTGTGTGCAAAGCATGTTCAAAACGTGTGAATTAAGAATCATTGGAGGTTCATGTGGACTTAACTTAAGACATGTGCACCTTAAGCACCTTGTCTTATGTTTGCTAGCCAACCGAAAACCCTTGCAACAAAGAAAAAGGTTTTGTTTTATAAAGAGCATAATAGTGCACAAGGGCATCCCAATTACATGTCAAGCAATGTGTGTGATGTTGTAGGATAGCATGTTTAGTGATAGAAATAACCACATAACAACACGGATTTGGTGAATGGTATTGTGGAGTGATACATAGGGATTAAACGTAGCTCCATGTGGCAGCGCAAGAAAAGCATGAGGCGTCCTGTCCACGCATTAATTTGGCCTTAAATGCCTTGGCATAAAATAGGGGATGAAGAGTTGCATCCACTATTGAGCATTGAATGTTGAAATCAAACTCCGTTGCATTGTGTTTGAGTCAAATTAGCAACAGAGTTGACCTAAAGAGTGTCAAGTGTGCTTCACAGACTTGAACTCCTTAGGAGAGACAAGAAGATCTCAAAAGTTTGTTGATAGGATCTGAATAAGTTTTGGTAATTTTTTTAGTTGGTTCGATGAGTCTGATACATCTAGTTATGTTTCACTCAAGTTTCTCCATTTGGCTAAAGGGGTAGTAGTTTGAATATACACAAACTACTCCCGATGACTCCCTGTTAACTACTTTAGGGATGGCTGAACCTCGAGCCTTAGATCATCCATTTATCACAACCCATTTATCAGTCATATTGTTGTTATGAATTTCTTTTCTAAGGTTGGAAATTTACTCTATTTGTTTAGATTGCCAACTTGAGACAGCATTGTCGGAGTCAATGATTAGTGGCTTTCCCATATTGCTATAAACATACATATGACGCCATGTTAAAGCAAGGAAAAATATTTCTAGAAAGTTCATAACATATTTTAGTGCGTTTTATGTAAAAGGTGTATAAATAGAGGAACTATGGAACGCATTTCTTCACCTCGTGGAGCACATGATATTCTCAAGAGTAATAGGAAATGCATTGGTGACTCACTACAAAAATTAACTTTCCCCAGCACACTACTGCATTTTTTATTTTAATTACTTTTATAGTTTGATGTGGCACTTATCAACTCTATCATCTTGGCTGGCAATACTTCTTAATTTTCTTGTCAAGTGCAACGTCTTCTCAACAAGCGCTATGGGCAGCTTGGCAGGCAATGACAAGTGCACTAATGTCGGTGGAAGCTGGGGGCATGGTCGCTTTGACAAGTGAATGCACATGTTGACAAGGTTCTTGATGAATAAACTAGCATTCTAGCAAGTTTCATGGGGTCTCTGCAAATGCGCTAGAGGCACAAGATAAGAAAAACTAGTTGTAGCTATTCAAGGAGTTCTTCAAAAGCTCAGTGGTTATCTCGTTGAGTATAATTATGCCTCGGCAATACACTTGGAAAGTTCTTTCATGACTTGGGGAGTGTTTTTTTCCTTTGTTGCAGGCACATACTTGAATTTTTCTTTCTCCAATTTTGCCTTCCCTTCAACAATTTTTTGTAGAATATTTATGATCAGCGTTGCTTGAGAGAAATGAGATGATGTAAGATTCCCTGATTTTCTTAACCAATTATTTCCTATCTCTGCCTCCAATCTAAGATTTTGGGAGAAATAAGATACAAATATCAATATTTGACTATGCAAACCTACTTAAGCATCTTAAATTGTTTGACGATCTAGGTCTAACTTTCTGTGTTTTACTTTATTTTAGATGAGAGGCTTGCTGCTAGACAGCTTGACCATGGTTTAGTAGGTTGTTTTGTTTAATATTTTCTAAGGAATACAAATTTCACAATCTGCATTTGCTTCAAGTATTTACACTTTATGCTTAAAGGTACGCACCAAAACTTGAAATTTAATACTTAAAATTTTAAGCTGCTTAATATTTCAGAATAAACTTCGCCACTAAAATTTAATTTAAATTGTGATAAACGTTTTCTTCAATTTTATAAAGTTGTTGACAATTGGAAAGATTGGGTAAAAGAATTCAGTCCCTATCAACAAGGCGTTCTTCTTTTTAGCTCAGAACTAAAATTTTTGAAGCTATGCTAGAGGCAATTCTGCGGTGGGTTTGTCGAAGCTGCACCAAATACATTTCTCCCTCTGAGCATTGAAGCAAAGCTCTTCATATAATACTAAAAATACTTTTGCTAAGCCTAAGACTCGAATTCGAGCACTCCCAACTTTTAGGGAAGACTGCCTCTCCAATTTGTAAGAAAACGGATAATCAAAACAAAAACTATGAAAGAAAAACCAAACTTTTATGACAATAAAAAATTCCCTAAGCGTTAAAAAGACGATTATTAGAGCAAGGAAAAAGCTAAAACCAAATCAGAGAATTTAGTAGCCGAATAAGAAACTTATCAAATCGGAAAGATTTGTAGGAATTACCTTCGGGAATGCTCAGCGCCTTGGAACGGTGTCCGCCCTCTCCGGTAACCGCGACTTACGATCCCAGTGGCGGGTTAAAACTTAAAAGACCAGTAGCGGAGCCGGGAACCTTAAGAATAATGCGTAATTGAAGAAATATTTTTTATTATTTATCTTCTCAAATAAATATGAATGAAATTTTATTTTGAACAAAATTGTATTCTCATATATGCGCACACGTTCTCTTGAAGTCTACTTTGAAGGAAATTTGTTTCGACTTATTCGAACCTTTGTCTTTGTTTGAGATTGATCCCTTATTTGAACTAAGTCTTAGATGACTTTCTTATTGTTTCTTAAAATAATTTTTGTCTAAAAAAACTGCTTTAAGAATCAATAAAAAAATCGTCTCAATTGCTCCTCCCCTATGTGAACTACTCTTCTTCTCACACTTCATCAGCCCGCAAAGTCTCTCTAATGACGAAATACAAACTTACTTTCCCTCACACGTCTTTCGATTTGAGATGCCTTCCCCAACGAAACCGAGGTTGCATAAAAGCAATCACACAATGCATTCCCAACGAGTTCCCTCATGAATGCGAACTCCTCTTCTCCTCACATGCAGTTTTCATGTCATGAAAACTCCCCCAGAAGGCACCAAACACATTCAAGCGAGGTTTGAACTATATTCGAATTCGGTCAAATTTTAAAAAGTATCCTGTGATCAAAAGCAAGAATATTTTGGTAATAACCAAGGTAAAAAAAAATGCAGGAGTCATTATAAATTAAATTTGAAAACCAACTTAGTCATAAAATAGATATTATAGTGATTTATTTATACGAACTTTTTCATATTTTTTGAACAATTATGGAAATCCTTAAGAAATTAGCACATGTTGGTACAAGTGGAGATTTTGAATCCGTTAGCTGTTTGTTTTGCAAACTGATTTTATCAATATTTTTTAAATAAAATAATTTATTTTATGAATATTTTCTATAATTTTTTAAGTCCAAATTTTTTTTTATGAATTTAATACTAAAAATTGATTAAATTATATTACTATATCATTATTTTTACTACAATGATTTGACTTTAACAGTCTTTATTGATGATTTGTTTTTATCACTTTATACAATTTCTCAACTTATTGATAGTAGTGATACGAATATTGCTTTAGAGAATTGACTCCTGTATTGGTTTTATTGGCTTTAGTACTATACTATTTAAGTGTCTATAGATTTTTACTACTGCATGTGAGTGTTTTGTTTCTGCAATGATTTAATGATCATATAAATGATATTGCCATTATTTGATCCCTGACATGCATATTATTCTTTTATAGTTATAAGTTTTTGTGACCTGCTAGATTTTTAGCTCATTATATGTGGTTAAATGATTTCATATCAAGGCAAAAGAGTAAGAGAGTGAGACTAATCAGGCTTCCTTCAGATTCAAAATATTTTTGTTTTAGTTATTCTTTTGTACTTGGGGCAAAGTAGTTATGATATGAATGTATATATCATGATTTTTAGTGAAATAAATATAGATGTACATATTGATATTTAGATCAATAGTTTTATTTTTGCTACTATTTAGATTAAGAAAAGATATTATATAGCCCTGTATATTATTTATTAAAAGATTAAAAGAATAATTATTTAAATTAAATTAAATTATGGTGCATCACAATTTTAATTCGAAATGATTATTCTAACATATTTCCTCAATAAAACAAATGAGCATATATCTCTAATTATGATCTTTCTGGGACATGTAAAGTTATAATTCCTATATGCAAGATGTTTATTTTAAAATCTTAAACTACTTTTATATTTTAGTAGAAGTAAATTTCTTGATTTTAGACAGTTTAAATTATGTCACCTAACTTATTTAAAATCTAATATAACCTGCAAATAGTATCTAATTATCATTTGTTTAGTTGTTTGTTTTTATTTAAAAAAAACTAATTCAAACTCATTCAACTTTTATAATTTTAAAAAATTAATATGCTATTGATAATGAGATAGAATAAAATGTACTATTTTTAATTAAATTAAACTATTTTATGTTTCATTTGAAAGAGAATGCCAACTTTGTCCTCGTAATTTTTTTTAAAAAAAAATACACACAAAACACATATGTAAGACTCCAACCTAATGACTCTTTGTTGGGAGCCAAACATCCAATCAACAAACCAAAAGAGAGATGGGCATCCGTATAAATTTTATCTCACATAAGATAAAATCATTTTTTAGATTTAATGAGAATGAAGTAACTTTAGCAATTTGATCTCTGTTTTGCTCATTCACATCTCTTTTGAAGGAATTAGCCATTTTTTTTTAAATAAGATGGGCAACGCAATTTTGGCTTTTACAGTTCAAACTATATAAAGTATTGAAGATAAAAGCAAAACAGCTTTTAATAATAACATAACACTTAAAGGCAACACTCTTCACCAAGCATTGCAATTATGCTTGTGTGCCATGTGCTGCGTCTAGCCCCTTTGCACTGCCTTTCTTTTGTGCCATTTGATGTGCCTTCACTTGAACAACCTCCAACGATAATGGCTTTCACTTACTTTACACATAAGCTTCTTTCTCTTATAACCCCAATGTTAGTTTAGTTAGTATCATAAATCTCTCCCACCCCCCGGGC